TGTCGAAGCGCGAGCATCTCGCTCATTCCCACCCGCTCTCCCGCCTGCGCAGCACCCGAGCCTCGGCACAGACAGGCAGGGGCCGCCATCGACCATCGGCGTGCCGTGCAGACGCCAGCCGGGTGCGCGACGCCCGCGAGGTGCGCGCGTGCCAGGGCGCCCTCACCACCCCCTCTCGTCAGAGAGTAGCGCTAAGCACTCGTGGGGCGCCCGCTCATGGTCTAAGATTTGCCGCACCGTGCACTTGGCACTGGCTCTCGGGAGGGTTGCTGGGCCCGCTCCGTCCCTGTCAGAGCTACCCTGGCGAGTGACCCGGCTGCATGCTTTGAGTTCCGTCGCTGCGAGCATCGCCTTTCGGTGGGCCTTCCTGTGGGGCCACGAGGCGTGCGCGTGGCGAAGCGGGCTGGGTCGGCGACGCCATGCGGTCCCTGGCATCTGTGCCTTCGCTGGAGCACCTTGGGGGGCTTCGAGGCGTATGATGGGCGTGCCGAAGCGAGTCAGCGACGCGCTGCGGACCCTGGCATGTGGGCCTCCGCCGGAGCTCGCTGTGGGGCCACGGGACCTGTGAGGGGTGTGCCAAACTGAGGCGGCGACGCCATGCGGGCCCTGGCAGTTGGGGCTTTGATTGGAGCTCTCTGTCTGGGCACGCAACGTGTCTGTGTGTGAGAGAGAGAGAGAGAAAGAAAGAAAAAAACAAAGGTGGGCAGAGGCAGGGCAGTTGGGCCGTAGCTGGAGCTCGGGCACGGAAAGTGTGTGCGAGAGAATTGCGCTGGGCAGAGGCAGGAATGAGAGGAGGGGGAGAGGAGAATGAAGGACGCCAGGCGTTGTCTCTTCAAAACGAGGACCCAACACCAGTGGTAACGCGATGGTGTGGAACAGTGTAAAGTGACCGCGGTGCGCCTGAGCATGGTCCAGATTGCGCCGCAACGTGTATCTTTGACTCGGATAGTGAAGGGGATTGGCATTGTCTCTGGGTTGGGATTAGTCGAGTGGGGAAGCGCGCGTTTACCAATACGAACCTGTGATGTACCCCTCCCAGAATTGAAAAAGGAAGTTAGCAGAACGAACGCCCTAAACTATTTACGCCCCAGGGTTTGTGGGATTACTGAAGGATTCCAAGTCGGAACCCCTCAGTGCACTCACCCTTTGTGGGATTATCGTGTCTCCGTCTCGATTTCTCCTCCCTTCTATTCCCCTCCCGTCTCCCTCGCCTCTCCCATCTTCCTCTGCCGCTCCCACTCTCCACTCTCTCCACTCTCGAACAGCGTCGCCTACCTTTTATTATCCACGCGTTTTTGACATCCCCATCCGTCCTCTCCGTAGCATGATGGTACCCACCAGTGATGTGCTACTCCCCCTAGTATGGTCCCCCTTCATCGTACTTTCATGTATGTTGTGGTATGCCTCCTGAGTCAACTCCATATATTTTCTAGTGCCGTCCTTGCTACGCCGAGCCAACGTGTGTACGGCTCCCTTATCTCTGCCAATGTTTTATGTGTGCTTTGCTAGTACACCCATATGCATTGCGCACGCCTGGTTCCTCGACACGTATCTCATACACCGCACTCACATCTATACCCCTGGGTGGGTGTATGTGCGGCCGTTTTTGCGCTGTCATGTGCGCGCATGTGCGCGGCATGTGCCAGTCATGTGCCACGCCTGTGCGGCCCTTTTTGGATGGACTTCCTACTGTGCACGTCGTGCCCGGGCATGTGCGGGGGCATGTGCGCTGTGTTTTGATGTATCCATCATACGCACATGCGCGCACAATCCGACGCACATGCGCGCACATGCCTGCACATGCGGGAGGTGTTCGAGAATCGCAGATCTGTCATCGGCACATGCACGCACATGCCTGTGCAACCTCTCTTCGGCAGGCCGCGCGGGCCCGCACATGCACGCACATGCGGTGAAGCGCGCGGGCGCACATGCGTGCACATCCCAATGCACATGCACGCTCATGCCCTAGGAGCTGTCTGGGACCCCTGTGCCTCCAATGCCTCCTGGCCTTCGCAGAGCTAACCTGGGGCGTGCCAGGGCTTCCTGAAAGAGTTTGTTGTGCGTTTAGACTCGCCCGCTGCTAGCGGGGGCGGTTCTTCGCCCGGTTCGTGAGCTGGCGGTGGCGTGCCCTCCTAGTAAAACACTCTCCCGCGCGCCTTCTCAGCTCGGCCGGAGAAGCAGGGGTGGGGGGGGGGAGGTGGAGAGGGGGGAAGGAGGGGGGGCCGAGGAGGCGGACGCCCCCGGCTCGGCCGGCCCGCCCGCCTGTTCGGCTCGGCCAGAAGAGAAGGAGGAGGAGGAGGAGGAGGAGGAGGAGGAGGAGGAGGAGGAGGAGGTGAGAGTTGGGAGGATGTCTCAGGAGGAACTGGCTTGACGGCCCGAGCTCAGGGAATCTCGGAATCGCTAGCCTGGCTCGGCCACTGGCGAGCTCGGCCTGTGCGAATACTGTGCGTACCTGTGCGGGGCATGTGCGGGACGTGCAAGAATGCCGGGGCCGGCGTTCGTCTCCGGGCGCCGGCGCGTTCGCGTCCGGCCGGTTCCGCGTGAGACGTCGTCGGCAATCTGGAGGCCGACGTGCTTTGACATGAGGTAATCTGGCCACCTTCGCCTGAGACATCCTCGCAACTCTGGTCTCGGAGATGCCCTGCCCCATGGTGGCCCAGCCACTTTCGGGTTTCAGAACGCCCTGAGCTGAGGTGGTTAGACCACTTTCGCCTAAGACATCCTCGCTACTCTGACCTCAGAGATCTCCTGCCCCATGCTGGTCAGGCCACTGTCGCCTGAGACATCCTCGCAAGTCTCGATTCCGATATGCCCCGAGCTGAGGTGGTCAGCCACTGTCGCCTGAGACATCCTCGCAACTCTGATCTCAATGATGCCCTGCTCGATAGTGTCTCGGCTCCTTTCGCCTGAGACATCCTCGGAACTCTGGGTTCCGAGACGCCCTGAGCTGAGGTGGTTAGACCACTTTCTCTTTAGACATTCTCGCCCGAGATGCCCTGAGTTGAGGTGTTCAGGCCATTTTCGCCTGAGACATCCTCGCAACTCTGACCTCAATGATGCCCTGCTCCATAGTGTCTCGGCCTTTTTCGCCTGAGACCCTCGCAACTCTGGGTTCCGAGATGCCCTGCCCCATGGTGGTCCGGCCACGCTTGCCTGAGACATCCTCGCATTTCTCGGTTGCGAAATGCCCCGAGCTCAGGTGGTCATGCCACTATCGCCTGCGACATCTCTGCGGCATGTGCGGGCATGTGCGTCCATGCTTTCAGAGTTTTCCTTGACCGTGCATTCGACTGTGCGTCGGACGGTGTGGCATGTGCGCGCATGTGCGGCAATGCTGTTGAGGCTTTTGCATATTTGCATGGACATGTGCATGCGACTGTGCGGCATGTGCCTGCATGTGCGGCCCATTCCAGACCACAATTTCAAAGTGAGCACTATAGAAGTGAGCGCTATAGAAGTGAGTCCGGTGTATCGATTGCCGTGGACATGCGTTTGCGACTACTTGTTTCAGAGCGTGTTGCACTTGGAGCAATCTTGAGATCGGCATTGTCAAGCATAGTGCGCCGGGTCACATGTATGCTGCTGCTTTCCCGACGGCCTTTCGATGCCCCGGCTTGAGCCGCGCCCTTCTGCGCCACTGGCGTACGTAGCGTGCGTAGTACGTTTGACGAGGATCATTTGATCACAGTGCAGCAGTTGGGGACACCATATTTGGACTTGGTTTCGAAGTTGAGATAACTTTGCGAATGTGTCGTTGCATTTATGTGTGTGCCAGCACGGTGTGGCATGAGCCAGTCGTCTGGGAGTTTTTCCAAGCAACGTGTGTTCGGATGCGTTCTCCTCAGCAATCGGCCCATCGTGATGTGAAGTGGAACGTCCGACCAACCTTGGTCGACCTATTCGCCATTTGGTTGATGTTGAATCTAGTACCGTGTCGCCATCATCTACAGCCGTCTCGGTGTGTTCAGCTCGAAACAGATTCGCCGCTCCTGCCTCTGCAACCTTGCTGCTACGCCATAGGCCGTTCGCTCGAATATCAGGGTTCGAGATTCTGCGTCTCTTGACGGCATGGATTTCTGCGCGTGTTGTGAGGCGAGCGCGCATGTCGTGCTGTGGACCTCGCTATCGACGCGTGCGAACCGTCACGCACGCGAACGAAGACGAGACACTGCTTCCGCAGGGGAGGCGGAGGCGGGCGGGCGACCAGGCCGGTCATTAAGCCAAGGGCGTGCTGTTCCCCTTCGTGGTGAATCCTCCTGCGCCCCTTGTCCTTTTGATCGTCGGCCCTCTCCTCTGGGGGGCGGCAAAGAGGGGGGTGATGACTAGGGGGGGGGTGCATATGGCGGGGGCCATGATACTTCCTCAGACTTCATGGCGCTTCATCTTATTTCAGGACGTCCCTGCCACCCCCCCCCCCCTGGGTCGCGCACATGCCGCTGGCCATGATTTGCGCCCCCCCCCCCCCCCTCTTGGACGCCCCCCTCTTGGCCGCCCCCGACTCTCGATCATGATTATGGTCGGATGTCCGATGGCGGATCCAGACAATCTGAAGGAGGGTACAGCGAAGGTGCTGACATACGGACCGCTTTGGGTGCGGAAGGGGCTCACCGTTCCGGAGGCCATTCCGTGGCTGTTCCTCTTAGCCCCTCTTCGTGCACCCAGGCTCTTCCTGGAGCCACATGGGGGCTTCGTTCCTTAGTTAGCGTTCTTTATTTCAGTATCGTTTAACCGACCCCCATTCCGCATCCCCTTCGAGACCCCCACCAAATTACCACCCCAGTTGGGGATACGCCCCTCGAAACCCGAAGTGAGCGGCCTATATCCCCAGCTAGGGGGGTAAATCGGCCAGTGGGGCCCAGGCCACGCCGCTTGGGATGGGGATCGAATAAACGATACGAATCATTGCATGCAGCAGCTGGACTGCATCCGCACGCCAGCGGGTGAGTCCGCGGCCGCCGCGAGATCTCCGACCTGTGCTGGCCTCTTTTTTGTGGCGGCAGGCCGCGTGTCGCTGCTGGGCACCACCCTGGCGCAGGGCTCCCCGGGGCAGCAGCGCGGCCCCCTCCGCGTGATGCAGGCGCCCCCTCCTTGCTTTCGCTGTGCCCTCCCCCCCCCCGAGGATAAGCTAGCCTTGCTGGTTGTGCAAGTCCGGGGTGGGAAGGGGGCGCGGGCGTGTGCAGGGCTGCCCACAGCGCGCATGTTAGGTTATCGGCTGGCCCCCTCCTCCCCGCCCCGGGATGACCCGGGTTATCGCCGATTCACAAAAGCGGTCTCATGGCCAACATTGACTGTTGTTCGGAGGGGGGCCAGGCACCACGTCTGTTATCCTGGCCTCCTTCCCTCTGTTTCAGGCCTGCTAGGAGGCTCTCGTCTCCACCGCTGCATTCGCCTCGGAATTCTGGTCAGAACAAACCCCAGCAGAGGTCCGTGGAGTACCGATACCTGGGTCCCTCTGTGGGCTCTCGTGGGGGCCTGTTTGGAGCCTTGGAGAGCCTTTTGGGGCCATCTCGTAGAGCGTCGGTGAAAAGAGAGAGTCGCATTGTTTGGTAAATCCCCTGGGGCCCTCAAAGTCGCCTTTGGCGGCTCTCGTGGGGCGCTCGTGGGCCACTTTTGGGCGCTCTTGGGGCCGTTTCGGGGGCCTCTTGGGCCCCTTTGGGGCCTCTCTTGGGCCATCTCGGGGCCGTGTTGAGGCATCAAAAGCGCATCGGAAGCGAAAAGGCGAGAATATCCAAATCCTTGAGTTTCGGCATGTGTATGGAGGGTGCGGGCCTCTTGGGGGACCCTGAAAGGGGCTCCGAGAACACTTGGAAGCGTCTTGCGGCCCTCGTCGGGCCTATTGGAGTTTACTGGGAGCTGCCTTGAACCATCGTCGGCTATTCTGAGCCATCTTGGACGCTCTGACGCCTCGCGGCCCGCTCCGAAAAACCTCAGGGAGGAGGGGGGAGGTAAACCTCCTGGAAGGGACGAGGTGTTTGGAAGAGGAACAAATCGCTAGACGACCTAGCCCAAAGAGCAGTTTTTTTTATATACACAACAGATGCCATATGTTAAGAACATGGCAGTCCTCGCTTTAAAGTTCCGTTCTTCCAGCAGCAGATCGGCAGATCGGCTCAGGTTGAATAGCCCTCTGTCGGACTTCACAAGCTTCCATCCCATTGAAACGACGGGGAACAAATCTAGGCATTTCTACATATATATATACACATACATACATGCGTATGTCTAAGTGTATTCTTATTTCCACATCTCATCTATATATATATATATATATGTATAGATGTGCATGCATGTTTACATATCGCACATGCACCTGTTATGGAAATCTTTCTGTTTACACATATGTATATGTGTACATCGATGGTTTCAGCACTTTGGGGGCGAGGGGTGGCAGGTTTGGGCCCTTCGCAGCCGCGTTCTCTCCCGCATTCCAGCAGCGCCCTGCACAGCTGCCCGCACGCTGCCCCGCCCCGGCCACGGGCAAGACGAGGCGCTCTGCGCAAGTGACTGGCCCCTGGCCCAGCTCGCGGGCGCGGGTCCTGCGCTCCTCTTGCAGGGTGCCTCTGGAGCAATCGGGGCAGGCCCCTGGCCAGGGGTGCGGGGGGGAAGGGGGAGCGCGCAGGAGCGGGGCAGAGGATCTTAGAGGAATAGCGCCGGAAACATCGATTAGTGCGTCGTGGCGTCTACTTGGGTCAATTTGTATCATTTGGCGTCTTGGGCAATGCGTCTTAGCGATCTTAGATCGAATGAGAACAACTGGCATAGACATAAACTCGTGGCGCTCCGCGCGGATTTGTTGGACCCGCGCCAGACCCCCCCCACCCGGGCGGCGCCTGCGGCGCCGCCCCCGGCGTGCTCCGCGCGCCAGGGAGGGGGGTCCAGCGCAGACCCAAGAAGTCCGCGCGGAGCGCCACCAGTTTATGTTCATCCTCCTCCTCCTCCTCTTCCTCGTCCTCCTCCTCCTCCTCCTCCTCCTCCTCCTCCTCCTCCTCCCAGGTATCACAATCTATCTGCCGAGCGGGCGCAGAGCTCAGGAAGTCAAGTGTATGCCATGTTTTCTTCTTCAGTTCTAAATCAGGGCAGGCCCCTGGCCAGGGGTGCGGGGGGAGGGGGGCGCGAAGGGGCGGGGCGGAAGGAGGGGGCAGAGAGCGGGTGCGGGAGCCGGTGCAGGGAGCGAGGGAGGGAGACGAGGGGGACGAGAGGAGGCGAGGGAGCTGCCTGGGTGCAGTTGCGAGGGAGGGCCGGGCAGGGGGAACGGGGGCGGTTTGGGGCGCAGTGGAGGGGAGGAGCGCGGAGGGAGGGACGACGGTGAGGAGGGGAAAGGAGCGAGAAAGGGAGAGGGAGCGGCGCGACGCGTCACCCACCAAAAGCGGTCCCCGCCCGCCCGCCGCCCCGAGGAAGGCGGGCAGAAGAGCGTATGCCTGAGCCCCGGGGCACGGCGGAGGAGGAGGGGCGAGGAGAGGGGGACCGGAAGGTGCGAGGTGAAGGCGAGGAGGGGGCAGCTGCAGGAGGAGGAGGAGCAGCGAGGAGAGAGGGGGAGGGGAGGGGAGGGGCAGCGGTGGGGCGAGCCGAGAGAGGGGCACGCGCGGGATGGATGGAGGGGGGGGGGATGCGGGGGGCGACCAGGATATGCCTCTGCGGGCAGCGTGGGCGGTCTGCGAGCGTCGTTCGGGGGAGCGCTCCAGATTGCTGACTGTGGCTGTCCAGGCACGGCCAGCCATATCATCCTTGTCAAGTTCACGATCGTGTTCATCAAGCACTGCCCTCTATCCTGCGATCTAGTTCCTACTGCTTCCAGGCAGCCTTGGTCATCTGAATCGGCTGCGTGTGTGTGTGTGTGTGTGTGTATGTGTGTGTGCTCCTCGTCGTCCTCACACGGCTGCCGCTACGATCTGTTTCCGCAGCTGCGTGCGAGCGTGGAATCGTATCTGTTTTTTTGTTCAGGAGGGGAAAAACACAGACACGATGGATCGCCGATTCCCAGGAAACTACGGGAAATATTGGAAGTGGGGGGAAGACGAAAATTTGGAAAATATGGTAAGGTATGGGGAATCCTGGGATCTGTGTGTACTTGTGTGTGCGTGCGTGTGTGTGTGTGTGTGTGTGTGTGTGTGTGTGTGTGTGTGTGTGTGTGTGTGAGTGCGTGCGTGCGTGCGTGCGTGCGTGCGTGCGTGCGTGCGTGCGTGCGTGCGTGCGTGCGTGCGTGCGTGCGTGCGTGCGTGCGTGCGTGCGTGCGTGCGTGCGTGTGTGTGTGTGTGTGTTGTGTGTGTGTGTGTGTGTGTGGGGGTGTGGGTTGTGTGTGTGTGTGTGCGCGTGCGCGTGCGCGTGCGCGTGCGCGTGCGCGTGCGTGTGCGTGTGCGTGTGCGTGTGCGTGTGCGTGTGCGTGTGCGTGTGCGTGTGCGTGTGCGTGTGCGTGTGCGTGTGCGTGTGCGTGTGCGTGTGCGTGTGCGTGTGCGTGTGCGTGTGCGTGTGCGTGTGCGTGTGCGTGTGCGTGTGCGTGTGTGTGTGTGTGTGTGTGCGTGTGTGTGTGTGCGTGTACATGTGTGTATGTGTGTGTGTGCGTGTGTGCGTGTGCGTGTGTCCCTGGGCCCCTTGATCTTTCTCTGGAGGCTCCACGACATGCTTCTCCCTCGCTGGAGGAGCACGTCGGGCAGAGCTGCTTCCTGGCTTCCGGTGCGGCTTCCGTCCCCCGGGCTGCCCTCCGCGCCCGCCCCGTCCCCCAGGCGTGGGCGCCGCCGCCGACGAAGGCGCCGAGGGGGGCCGAGGGCGGAGGGGCCCTAAGGGAAGCTCTACGAGTTATTACTCTTAAGCTTCCAGCAACAACTTGCTCAGGGAAGCTCTACGAGTTATTTGACTGGCGAACGCGCGAAAACCCACTACCGGTTCTCGAAACGAATGTTCAAATCTCTCAGAAAGTTCGCTGAACCGACCCAAAGTTCACACATTGTTCGCCCGGGCCGGGTGCACGCGGAGGCGTCGTCTCTGCTAGTATTAAGGCGGGCCTGTCCCCCTACAGGGGGTATTTTCGACGAAAAATACAGCATCCCACAAAAACAGTGCCAAAATAGTCTGGGGAGCATTTTTGGCGTATTTGTGTTACCTTTTTGGGGCATGTTTGGGGTATTCCTTATGTTTCGTTGAAAATCCCCCTGTAGGGGGACAGGCCCGACATAATGCTAGTTGCGGGAGGCCGGTGGTGGCGCGGACTTTCACGGTCCCGTCGTGCCTGGCGCGTGGCATGTGGCTCGTAAAGAAACAGGGCGTCTGCGCCGACAGTGGCGCGCAAGTTGCCTTCGTAAGCTCGCGCGTGAGCGCCCTCGTCTCCAATGTAGCGTGCAGCGCGGGCGGCCCGCGTCAGCCGCGGCGTCCGTGTCATCTCCCGTGAGACCCGTTCTTGATCGTCGCTCCTGTGGGCCACGTTGTGTGTAGTCCGTGGCGGGTGACGGTTCCGTGGCCCGCGAGTCGGCGGCCTTTGGTCATTGATAGTTGATGCGTTGCCTGGAGTTTCGATGGCCCCGTCGTGCTTGACCCGTGGCCCATGGCGTGCGAAGAGGGTTGGCTATGGAGTCCCATCTTGGCATCCTCCCCACGGTCGTTCCCTGCACCCCAAAAGGAGCACCAGGCCCGTGGTGATCGCTTGGGTCGGGAAAATTCTGGGGAGCCCTGGCGAAGCTCGGGGCGACACAGGGCGGCACCAGGGCAAGCCGGTGCGAGCATGCAGAGAAGGTGTGAGTCGCTGCAAGCAGGTCGGCGTGCGGCCAGGCCGATGCGAGCAGCAAGTGGGCCGGTACAGGCTTGGCACGAGTCATACCAAGCCCCGGGCGGCTTCTTGAGTCGTGGAATTGCGGATGAACCCAGTCGAGAGTCCGAAACCTTGGGGCAAGTCGGCGCGCGCAGTGCAACATCCACAGGAGCTTGTGAGCCGCCCGCTCCGCGCCCGCTCGCAGCTCGCACCCACCTGGTCCGTCCTTGCCCGACCCCTTCCCTCGGGAGTCTTGAGCGAGTTTGCGCAATCCTCGCAGGTGAGGTCCGAGCAGGACGGGTCGGAGGATCGCGCCGCATCGCCAAGGCGGCTCGATGTGGATCCCGATTGTCTCCGCGCCGATGTCGCTGATGCACAGCTGGCGTCGCCAATGCATCGGCGATGCATCGGCGATGCTTCGTGATCCTTCGAGCCTATATACTCGGACTCCATTGGGAGATTTCTGTTTGGTTTGCTCGCGGGCAAGCTGTTCATTCCTGACCGCGACCGTTTGGCAACAGCCTGGCTGGCCGGTGCTCTGCGTCGTCTGCACGGAGAAGGGCGATTCACGAGGTGTTTTTCGGTCGACCCAGCCCCCAGGCTACAGTGGAGACTCAGGCCAAGAAACACCCTCCAGGGTGCCCTGGGTTCCGCAGGTTTCGATGGTTCTGCTATGGCAAGCGCGAACCAGACATCCGCGGAGGTCCTGGGATCTCGGGGTTGGGCTTCCTAGGGAGGGTTGCTTGTGATCGAGCCCTCGCACTGGAGGCAGCGATTCGTGGAACACACACCTGCGTAAACCCAGAAACGAAGGATTGCAAAAAAACCGAAGGATTGCAAAAAAAACCTTGAACGAAGCATTGCAAAAACGAAGGATTGCAAAAACACCTTCGAAGGATTGCAAACAAACGTTTCGTTTTTTGCAATCCTACGAAGGTTTTGTTTTGCAATCCTTCGTTTTTTTGCAATCCTTTGTTCGGAGCTCTGCGCAGATCTCTTGGATCGGCGTTGGACCCCGGTTCCCTGGCAGCAGCGGCGCGCGCCCAGGGCTTCGCCGGAGGAGGGTGCCCGGAGGGCCCGGGCGCCGATCTCTCGGAGCTCTGCCGCGAGGCCTGCGCAGACGTTGCCGCGAGTTCTGCGGGAGCCCTGCAGAGGAGGAGGAGGAGGAGGAGGGAGGAGGAGGAGGAGGGAGGAGGAGGAGGAGGAGGAGGAGGAGGAGGAGGAGGAGCTCTGCAGACTCTGCAAGCTCTGCCAAGTCTGCCAGGAGGTCCGAGGCGCGCTCATCCGAGGGGCCGGAGCTGGCGGAGGCGCGGAGCTCCGAGAGTTTATATTCTAGTCGTTCTGCTTCGGGGGCGGACAGCACCCCCCACAGTGACACGTCGATGAGTGGATTGCCCGTTTTCGGCTCCCGAGAGGGCGCCTCGGCCGTGATTTCCCAGGCTCGCGCCCGCCAGGTTTGGGCCTCGGGCCGTTTTCACTGAGCCGCGTTCTACGAAAGGGAGGCCTGTCCATCCCCGATCCGAGCTCGCTCTTCCTCTAGAGGAGGAGCAGGAGGAGGAGGAGGAGGAGGAGGAGGAGGAGGAGCAGGAGGAGGAGGAGGAGGAGGAGGAGCAGGAGGAGGAGGAGGAGGAGGAGGAGGAGGAGCAGGGGGAGGAGCAGGGGGAGGAGGAGGAAGGCGAGTTCTCGGATTCTGTCCATCCCCGACTGCTCCTCCTGGCAGCAGCGGCGCGGGAGGCGGAGCGCGCGCAGGGCCGGTTGCGCGGGGGCAGCCCGTCGAGCTCCGGCTGCGGGGGGATAGATCCTCCGGCTCTCCCGTGGGCAAGCTGGCGCCTCCGGGGGGTCCCTGGAGGTGCCCCGGGCCTTACGTCGGGGAGGGAAATTCAAGACTAGTCAAGCATAGTCCCTCTACAGGAGGAGTGTTCAAAAATAGTCAAAACATAGACTGGGGACTGTTTGTTTTTTATTTTTGTTTGTGAAATTTGGGATATGTTCTGGGTATTTGTTAATTTTCGTCGAAAGTCCCCCTGCAGGGGGACACGCCCGACTTAACCCTGGCCCAAGGAGGCGCCCTCTGCCCTTTGCGCAGTTTTGGGAGCCCCCCCGGGCCCTTCTGCCTGGCGTCGCTCGGACAGGTGCACTTCTTTTTCCGGCGGGGACCATCGAGGAGCATCCTGTATCATTGATGCCGAAACAAACACACACGAGAACAGCAAATGCACCGGGAAGGGACGTCCGAGCGATGGCGAGTCGAGAGGGGTGCTGCGGAGGCCGGGGTGCCCTCCTTGGAAATCTCGGGGCCGCCTCGGGACGGACGCTTCTGGTTGCCCCCGACGCTCGCGCAGGTATTCTGCAGGGGTGGTACACTTGTTCTTGCAGCGGTGTTTCTCAAGGACGCTGGCGCGGACCCCAAGCAGTGATTGTTTGTGCAATTTGTGATGGTGTGCGATCTACGGGCCCTGACGTTTTGGACCTTTTCGAGTGGGACCCTCTCGTGCGAGATCCTGTCGTGCGGGGGTTCATCGTCTGGGACCCTGTTGCGCGGGGCCATGTGGACAATCTCGATGGGGATCTCATCATCTGAGCACCGAGCTCCGCAGAAACTCCCTGCGACCAAGGCTAGCTCACTCATCAGATTTCTGGTGCGTAGGGGCATCCTCAGGGCACCGCAGCGCCGAGCACTAACCATCGCCGACATTTCCGGGCCTAACCCTTCCAAAGTAAGGTGATCAAGGCACCATCTGTGCAAGTATTGTTTGGTGAAGCGAAGCAGGAGATCCTGCAGACTTCTGGCACGCATCTGTTCCTCCTATACAATGTCATGGCCATCGCTGCTGACAAGTTACCGCGTGGTCCTGCTGCAAGCGGGGAGTGGCACGAGGAGGTACAAGGCGCAGAAGTGCGGATGCGAGCTTCCACTTCTTTTGAACAGCTGACAACTGGTGGGTCGCGGGTGGGTCGCGGGTGTGTCGCGGGTGCGTCGTGGGGTGGGTCGCGGGGGGGCGATGACAGCAAAACACATCAGCAACAACATCAACGTCACCAGCAACAGCAACAACACCAGCATTACCAGTCATGCGACCCTCATGCGCCGTGTTTTCACTTGCCGCATGCATTCACCACGATGCCACGCACTCTTGGGGGGAACTATTTGCAAAGGGGCGGGCGATATTCCCACACTTTGATCTCCCGCCAAAGGAGGCCGAGCCAGCGCCTTTTCCCGAGACACTTTCCCATGTTCAGCCTGCACGGCACATAAAAAACACATCGGTGCGATTTTGTGGAGCGGTGAGAATTCTAAACACGAGGTATTTGGGCACCGTGACAGGGGCAACGGATTCAAGCCCCAGTCGAGGGGTTAGATATGGGACCATACGCAAAACACAAACATTTTCGAGCCCCAGTCGACGGCCAACATATATATACATATATATATATGTATGTATGTATGAATGTATGTATGTATGCATTTATATATATGTATATATATATATATATATGTGTGTCTGTATGTATATATATATATATGAATATAAAAGCAACACACGTGAGGCACAAAGGAATGGAACCTCAGGAGAAGTTGTATGGGTACGAAGCCTCCTCGGGGCCGAAAAGCACTCCCCGAACAGATCTCCCAATACACAAATGTCTCCTGTGTCCTCCTTGGGGCGGGAGGGCTTAATGATGCTCCCCCAACACATGCCCCGATGCAGAAAGGTATCTCGTGGGGTCTCCCGGGAGCGGAGGGGTCGAAAAGCATTTCCCGAACACATATACCGATACAGACTGTCTCCTGGGGCCTCCTGGGGTCTCCTGAGGGCGGGAGGGCTGAAAAACGTTCCCCGAACAGATATCCCTGGAGCGTCCTTGGGCTTCCTGGGCGCCCGCCAGTAGCGATAAGACTGCCCCCCCCCGCCCTTGCTGGGCAGCACGGGCGCCCCCCACGCCCTTTCGCCAACGTCGCGCCGGCGACCCACGCGCCGTCCGGCCCTTCCTCGGCGGGGCGGTGGATGGATACCGCAGAGGGCGATCCCCACCAAGCCGCATCGTGCTGGGCCGGGGCGGCCACCCCGCTCGGGTCGCCGCCGTGAGGTCCGGAAAGCCTCGTCGCGGGTGGCTCCTTCTCTACCGGCCCCTGGCCCGGCCTGTTTGCTTGCGGTCGCTGCTTCCCCTCCTACTCGTCCTTGTCCTCCTCCTTCTCCTCTTCCTCCTCCTCCTCCTCTTCCCTTTCCTGGTGCTCCCTGCCTGCTGCCCTTTGTTGGTCCCCCTCCCGCCTGCCCTCGTCCCGCCGGCCCCAGCCCCCCGCCTGCGCGTTCGTCGTCGCCTGCCTGCTTTTCCCCTCCTCTCTCGCTCCCTCTCCGGGCGGCGCGGCGTGCCCCGCATCCGCGAGTAGCAACACTAGTGTTCTGAAGGGCCCGTTTTTTTAGAAATGCGAAGAAGTCTCGGGCACACTCTTGCCAGGGCTGTTCGGGGTAAGTTGTCAGGTAGACGACAATCATTTTAAGAGTGTTCGCTCTCATTTGCTCGCGTGTCATTCGGCAGTATATTTCAATTTCAAGCCCTCGATCGCGCTTTCTTCGCCTTCGATGGTACCCTTCTTGGAGACATAGCTGGCGCAGTTTCTAGAACAGTGGAGGGGAGGGAGGAGGGCAGGGGCAAGGGGGAGGGGAAAGGATGGGAGGTTAGGAGCTCGAGAGCAAACGGCAGACCCAGACCGGCGGGCAGGGCAGGCGGGCCCTAACGGGCGGGTGGGGTGAGCGGGCCTGGACGGTTGGGTCGAACACAACGGGTACTGGAAGTGTGATGAAACATTTGTTTCAGGAAAAATGAAAACGAACAAAACAAAAGAAAACAAACAACGAACAAAAGGAACAATATTTGTTCAGGAAATCTTCACTCAGAAGTGTGAATGCAAAAGGAAAGATGGAAGCGAACAAACAGAAGCTGGATCACAGTGTTTTTGGCGCCCACACGCCGAGGGCACGTGCAGGACAGTTCGCCCGTCTTCGCACGTGTTGGTCTCGTGGGTTTTGCCCCTCCGAGTGCCGCCGCAGCACCCGCCGAGGACCAGGACGAGGTGCCGACCCTGAGCAGCAGGCCGCTCCGCGCAACCTCGCCGAGGCCGAGATCTCCGGGGCTGGAGGGGCAGAAGGCCCGTGTTCTTACGGGGAGGGAAGCGCTGTTCGATGGGGGCGGGCAAGGGGGGGACCACTTATCGGACACTGGAACATATACATTACCAGTGGCGGGCTGTTTCTTCAATCCCAGGACTTTTGGAGGGTCGGGGGCGACGCTGGGGTGGTGTGGTGTATAGTTTGTTCCCCGACGTTCCAGGAAAACAGCGAAAAATGTACACCACCAGGGTCCTGTATACAGCAGGATCCGCTCTCCAGTGCCATTGCAATGCAGGGCCGGAAAAAAGCGTCGGTTGGGCATGTGCCTACCACTCTTTATGCCTCCCAGGTGGGATCGGGGTAGATGGGGTCGAAGCATCGCGCCGCATCGCCGATGCATCGACGATGCGGCTCGATGCTGAGCTCGACTTTCGCCACGCCGACGGCGCCTATGCATCGCGGGCATCGCTGGTGCATCGCCGATGCATCGACGATGTGTCGCGATCCTTCGACCCCATCTACTCGGACCCCATTTAGGAGCCCTCCACAATCGACCCCTTTCTTCAAGATGTGTTGTTGATGGGTGTTGTGGCCGATTCGGGTTTGCTGGAGTGTGAGTTTCCGGGACGCGCCGAAAAGACGGCATTTACAGTGTATATGGGTATGGTAAATGTTGTTGGTGCATTGTCTCCAGACAGTGCTTTCACTCAGGGGGTCTCATTTCTGGTCTAAGGAACTGGCCTTGACTTCCGGTCTGGCGGCTCATTGCGCGCCGTCGCCGCCTTGTCGCCACCCATCGTTTGGGCCTTCCTAGCCAGGCCAGTCCCGACCCTCCCTGACCCTCTGAAAAAATATACGCGCGCACTCGTTTATAACAACTCAACAGTTCCCAAGAGTCCTGTGCAAAATAATGGGCCGAAGGGCACACGCGACCGTCGTCGCGCGCGCCTGCCGAAATCATTCGAAAACCGTAGGTTCCGTAAGGAATTCAAAAACGACTGTCCCGAAAACATATTAAACCAAATGGTTTTGCAAAACGGATTCTCAAGCAAAAGAGCCTGCGTCCGCGCTCATGCAAATTCTCAAGAAAACCATAGGTTTATCAGCATTTCCATGATACCAGAGAAAAGCCCCAATCAACGTCTTGTTATGGCTATAGGGCGATGGGGCTATGGGGCTATGGAACTATAGAGCTATAGGGCCATAGGGCTATAGTTCTACAGGGCTATAGAGCTCTAGGGCTATCGGGCTAGGGGGCTGCAGGGCCATAGGGCCATCGGGTTATGAGTCTATAAGGCTATGCGGCTATATGACCATAGGGCTATAGAGCTATAGTAGGGCTATAGGCACACAGACCTATAGGGCTATAGGACTAAAGGGCTATAGGGCTATAAGGCTATAAGGCTATAGGGCTCTAGGGCTATGGGGCTATAGGGCTATTCGGCTATTGGGCTATATGGCTATAGGGCTACAGGCCTATAGGGTCATGGGGCTATTGGGCTATAGGGCCACAGGGCTATGGAGCTATAGGGCTATAGAGATGTAGGGCTCTAGGGCAATAGGGTTGTAAGGCGCTTGGGTACCTGGACACCCGGGTCCCAGGGCACCCGGGCACCCGGGCGGGCCGCGGAAGTCGGTGGCAAGCTTCCTTTAAACATATAAATACGCTAGGACCCCTACAGAGGCAAGCTTTGATTGGGGAGTAAACTGCTACCAAAATGGCCTCTCGCGCGCGCATGTCGAAATCGTTGGACGCCCTCGGAAGTTCGCACGCGCGCGTCGTCTTGTGCGCATGCCTAAAGCTTTCAGACAAACTAACCTTAGGTTGCGTACGGATGTCAAAAACGACTGCACAGACTACATATTAAGCCAAATGGTTTTGCAACATAAATTCTCAAAAACAAAATCTGCGCGTCTTTGAGATTCTCTAGGGGAAACATGTCTCAACACTGTCATCAGATTCTGCTAAACGGGCCTCTTGCGCCACATATTGAACTCATCCGGACGCCTTCGCGCGCGTGCGGTGAGGGGGGGCACGTTCCGTGTCAAATAATGCCACACGTGTCGAGCTTTCCACCAGCGTGATCACCGACGCGGGGACATCGTAATCATTATCAGCGGTCGTGATCAACATCGGCGCCGTCATTGGGTTTGCCGTCGTCATCGCCACCATTTTTACCATCAATGCTGTTCTCTTCATCGTGGCTACCGCGGTCGGCGTCGCCATGATACCGCGCCCGCCCAAGTCACCGACTCGCATTGCAGTGCCCGCTGGGAAAGTGCCCAGCGGTCAGCGCCGCCGCGGCCGCGCCGGTCGCGCCGCAGTAGCTGGTCTGCGCGCGCGAACGTGCGTGGGTCAGCGCGGCCGCAGAGATGCACGGCCAACGCCAAGCAATTATCGCAATTGCCGCCGCATGGGTTTTGCAAATCAAGTTGCGGGTGGGCGGCTGGGACGTTTGCGTGGGCAAACAAGTTGACTATATGAAAGTATGGCAGGGCGCACCGCGTAGCTTCGCCTTTCAAAAAGAATATTCAAGTCCCCCCCACCCTGCCCCCCTTCATATTTAACCGCTCCCCCTTTTCGCAAAACAAATGTCACACGATTCTGCTCCGCCGCCCATCCTATACATATATATATATATATACATACTTATATATATATATAAATGAACCCATGCCGCCCCAGCCCGTCCCCCCATCACGTTTGCAGAAATATTAAGCGCGCGTTCGCTCATTTCGAATCATCCGTTCCCACGGATCGTTTGCAAACAATGGAACGAAGTGCGCGCGCACCCGTGCCGAAATTCTCCCAAAAACCTTAATTGTTGTCCGTATTTCCCAAGCGGTTGCTACGAACACATAACTAGACGCATGGTTTTGCAACGGGGGTATTCAAACAAACATAACAGAGAAGAAGCAATCGCCCGCGCTCGTGCGTGTTCGGGAGAGTCCCATGCGTCATTCAACATGTTCATAGATCACTACCAAACGGGCGTGTCGTGCGCGCGTGTCGAAATCGTTCGCACTCCCTTGCGCGCGTGCTGTCGCAATAATCTTCAGCCAACAGTTGGACGAGGTGTGTGCGCGCGCGTTGTCGCGCGCGCGTGCGGAATCCTTCAAACTCCGTAGGTGTCGTGCGAAATTTCAAATCGAGTGACACGTGTAGGTATAATACATACAAATCTAAGTGTGTCCATATATACATACATACATATACATATATACACACATATATATATATATATATGTGTGCGTGCGCGTATCAGTCAAACATAAACATGGCATTGGAACATCATATTTAAAAAATGCCCGCGTTCGCGCTCCGGATACATGTTAATAGAGACGTCGGTTTGGTTCAACTTTCTGGCTAAGTTCGGCCAAAGGGGTCTTTCGCGTCACACACAGGAGTCACTCGAGCACCTTTGCGCGCGTGCTGCTGGAGGAGAGCGATCCGTTTCAAAGAATACTACGCGGGTTACTCTCGCGCGTCGGCAGTTCGCTCATGTCGAATTGCCCCCAAAAACCTCCATCGCCGACGCGAGGGCGCCGTGATCGTTGCCGGCATGACCAGCATCGGCGCCGTCACCGGCCCTGCCGTCGTCGTTGTCATCATCGTCACCCGCATCGTTCCCACCATCGTCGCGTCTACCGTTGTCGACGTCGCCATGATACCGCGCCCGCCGAAATGCCGGTCGCACTTGTTGGGAAGGAAGTTCCCAGCGGCCAGCGCCACCGAGGCCGCATCGGCAGCGCCAAGTTAAGCGGCCGCTGCGCAGGCGAGAGTGCGCGGGCTCTGTCGGCCGCAGAGATGCACTAGCCAACGCCAAGCACTCATCGCAGTCGCCGCTGCATGGTCTTTGCAACCAGGTTGCGGGCGGGTGGCTGGGATGACTGCGTGAGCATTGGGGTAGACAATTCGCTGCGAACAGCAATGAATTGCACCACGGAGACTCCCATTTCTAACAAGGGAACGGACTCTACCCCCCCCCCACCCCTGGGTTTATCGACCCCCCGTTTCGCATCGCAAGTTTCACACGATTTATCCCCATCGTCCATCCTAAATGTGAACGCGTACCATCGCAGCCCAACCGGTTTCGACCCCCCACGCAAACCTTCCTGCACAAAAAACCGTTTGCGCGCACATTCGGTGTTTAGCAAAACTCAATAGTTTCCAAGAGTCCCTTGCAACACATGGGACGAAGTGCGCGCGCGCGTTTTCGCGCGCGCATGTCGGAATCCGTCAAAAACTTTCGAAGTCCTAAGGATTTAAAAACCGATTGCCCAAAAAAACATATAAGAACACATGGTTTCGCAACGGTGATTTCCAAAATGGAGACGATAATTTTTCAGGAACGATCGTTTTCAACATGTTCATTACATGCTACCACACGGGATTCGTGCGCGCATGTCGAAATCGTTGGAACGCCTTTGCGCGCGTGCTAGGGTGGCACGGTCCGTGTCCGATACTACCATGCGGGCCACTCGCGCGTCTGCCGCGCGCGAATTTCGAACCTTTTTTTCCCTGCTTGTTACCACCGACGCGAAGACGCCGTCATCGTCGTCGGCGTAATCAGTATCGACGCCGTCATTGGATGCCCCGTCGTCGCAGTCAGCATCGTCACCAGCATCGCTACTATCAGCGTCGTGTGTACCGATGTCGGCGTCGCAATGATACCGCGCCCGCCCATCTCGACGACTCGCACCCAAATGCCCGTTGGGATGTGGTGAGTGGTCAGCGCCACCTCGTTTGCGTCGGTCGCGCCAAGGTAGTCGGCCGCTGCGCGCGCGTGCTTTGGCTGGCGTGGCCGCAAAAATGCACCAGCCAACGCCAAGCATCTATCGCAATTGCCGCCGCATGTGTTTTGCAAACCCAATTGTGGGTGGGTGGGTGGGAGAGCATGGAATGTGCCAATCCGTTTGTTAATATGCATTGCGTACCGTAAGTTGCACCACGTCGATTGCACCACATCGATTTTTCGAAACATGTTGTCCATTGTCCGCGCTGGCCAACACTATGTGAGCTATGCATGTTCGCTGGGTTTGCGATAGTGTTTTACGAATGTAAAGAATGGCGGCCAAACGCCTATGCCAACTTACCATGCAAACCCAGGGCGAAGATGGATTGTTCCAGAGAGCCCCGAAACGCTCTCGGAGCAACCCAAGGCACTTTGGAATACACGCGGCGACCAGTGTATCCGTTAGCTCTCAGAGATCCCGACCGTTCCCAAATCGAGTTTGTCTTTATCGGAAAAAACGCGTTCCGTGGTCGCTTGGAAGGGGGGGGGGATCCGGACCCCCCCTCCCTGGATGGAGAGGGGGGTTCGAACCCCCCCCGCTCCCGTCGTGACGGAGGGGGGGGGGTCGAACCCCCCCCTTTCCCCCCCCCTCTCCCCCATGTTTCCCCTCTCCTCGGGGCGGCGGGTGACGACGATTTCGTTTTCTGGGCGGGCGCCGGCGCCTGCGGCAGCGGGCGGCGGTGGCGGGGAGCGTCGACGAGGACCACGGTGGTGGTGGTGGTGGTGGTGGTGGAGTGTGGTGGTGGTGGTGGTGGTGGTGGAGGTGGTGGTGGTGGTGGTGGGTGGGTGGTGGTGGTGGTGGGTGGTGGTGGTGGTGGTGGTGGTGGTGGTGGTGTGGTGGTGGTTTGGTGGTGGTGGTGTGTGGGTGGTGGTGTGGTAGTGGTTTGTGGTGGTGGTTGTGGTGGATTGTGGTTGTGGCGGTGGTTTGTGGAGGTGGTGCTGGTGGTGGCGGTGGTGGTGGTGGTGTGGTGGTTTTTGGTGGTGATGGTGGTGGTGGGCTGTGCTGAAGGAAGTGGTGGTGGTTGTGGCGGTGGTGGTGGTGGTGGTGGTGTGGTAGATTGGTGGTGGTGGTAGTGGTGGTGGGTTTTGTGGTGGTGGGTGATGGTGATGGTGAGTGGTGTGGTGGTGGTGGTTGTGTGGTGGTGGTGTCGTGGTGGTGGTGGTGTGATGGTGGTGGTGGGGTGGCTGGTGGTGGCGTCGCGCTGGTGGTGGTTGTGGTGGTGCCGAGGCGGCGGTGGTGGTGGTGGTGGTTGTGGTGGTGGTGGTGGTAGTGGTGGTAATCGTCGCTGCGTCCCCGCCATCGCCGGCGCCGCCGCCGGCGCGAGGGGTGGGGATGGGGTTTGAACCCCCCCCCGGCGCCAGGGGGGGGGGTGTTCGAATTCCTTCCCTTTCCTTGAGTTGCTTCAAGTCATCGTCGCTGCGTCCCCGCCGTCGGCGCTGCTGGCGGCCGCCAGCGCCGGCGCCGGCGGCGAGAGGGGGGGGGTTCGGGAGGGGGCGGTTTGGAGTGGAGGGGAGTCCCTCTGGTTTTGATCGACGGCGCCGAGTGTTGGGGGGGGGCCCAGGCCCACTCCCCGTCTCGGAACGCGCCGCCGAATATTCCCAAGGCAAGCGCCCGTGAAACGCGTTCTCTCCTTTATCGTGTTCTCGTCTGCCAGCGGGGGAGTGGGAAAGGGGAGAGGGAAGGGGCGCAGGGAGGATTCAAGAAAAAGGTGACGGGCGGAGCGAGGACTGGGTGGGCCAAGAGGCGCGAGGAACGGAGGAGGCAGCGGGCGAGGGGAAAGAGGAGTGGGATAGGGATGTGAGAAGAACGGGAGGAGGGAGGGATTGAGGAGACAGGGATGGGCGAAGGGAGGTCTGTGACGCTCACAGATGCTTCCAGAAGCCGAGAAGGGTCAAAAGACGTCCTCGACCCCGCCTCCTCCCCGCCTCCCCCCTTTTTCTCAGGGACAACGTCAAGGGGGACTGGGCGCTCGGATGGACGCATCGACCCAGTCGCCCGGTGATCGACGATAGGGGCCTGATAGCCCACCCCGGCCAGAACCGTGCGGATTCGTGATCGGGGTGGGGGCCCACCGCCGATCAATCAGTGATGTATACAGTCAGAAACTCGAATGAGGACGCGCGACTTTGCTCAGGGTACCCTTGCGTCCTTGCTCTTCCTTGCTCTTGCGTCCTTGAGGTATTCGTCGTCCGCCGCCCCAAAAAGCCCGACTTTGGCTTTCAAGGGTCTTGCGTCTTGACCGCGCGTCCTCATTGGGGTTTTTGACTGTAGTCGATTACATGCCGATCTTTCCTCCATGAGCTGTTCCCGTCCCTCCCGTTCCCCCCGCCATTCCTCCTTTGCTCGTCTGAAAACGCGGTTCCTGGAGGTTTCCCGAAGTGGGTGCCGGAGGTGCAAGGGGGATGGGGAGTAGGGGAGGGGGAGACAACGGAGGCGGAGGAGGATGAGGAGGGAGGAGGAGGAGGAGGAGGCGGAGGAGGAGGAGGAGGAGGCGGAAGAGGAGAAGGAGGGAGACGGAGGAGGAGGAGGAGGCGGAGGCGGAGGAGGAGGCGGAAGAGGTCCCCCCCCGCCCCCCGGCCCGCGCCGCAAGCCTGGTGGCGAGTTCCCCATAGGGGACCTGGCCCCGCAGCTGCCCTGCCCGGGCCTGCCCATCAACTGGCGCAACCTGGACTCGAGAGGGGGGCGGGGGCGGCTCGATCGGGGGCCTCCTCCACCTCCTCCCCCTCCTCCTCCTCCTCCTCCTCCTCCTCCTCCTCCTCCTCCTCCTCTGCCTCCTCCGCCTCCTTTGCCTGCTCCGCCTCCTCCGCCTCCTCCTCCTCCTCCTCCTCCTCCTCCTCGGGCCGAGGCAGCCTAGGCCTCCCAGATGGGATCCGAGTGGATGGGGTCGGTGGATCGCACCGCATCGCCGATGCATCGCCGATGCCGCTCGATGCCGCTCGATGTGGAGACCGTGTTTCCCCACGCCGACGTCGCCGATGCATCGCCGATGTATCGGCGATTCGGCGCGTTCCTCCGACCCTATCTACTCCGACCCCATCTAGGAGGCCTCTAGTCAGTCAGTCAGTCAGAAGCCTTGCACTAGACGGTGCGCTAGCAGAGATGGGGAAAATGCACTACTTGCATGTGCCACGATCGCACGGCCGACGCCCAAGCTCGCGCTGCACCGCCCTCCGGGCGGAAGTCATCGGCAAGGCGAGCGGCGGAGCCGGCCACACGCAGACAATTGTTCATCACCATGTTGCCCCAATTCTGTCGGGGCCGGCCTCTCTTCCGAGGTCCTGATGGCGATGGTATCTCAATGTTTCCAGGTTCAAACACAGACATGCGCACCGGGTCTGTGCTGGGGCGTCCCGCAAGCTTGCCTATGAAGAGCATCAGCTACCTATGAAGGGCCAAGAGGGGGGTTATGACCAGGGATGGTCGATATCATGGCGGGGGTCATGAGATCCCCCCAGATTTTATGGCGCCTCCTCTCATTTCAGTGCGTCCCCGGCACCCCCCTGGGCCGCGCACGTGCCGCTGGCCATGATTTGCGCCCCCCACCGCCCCCCCCCTTGGACGCCCCCGAGGACCCTCAGGACGTGAGTTAGCCCAATGTGTGTGTGTGTGTGTGTTGTGTGTTGTGTGTTGTGTGTTGTGTGTGTTGTGTGTGTTGTGTGTGTTGTGTGTGTGTGTGTGTGTGTGTGTTACGGCAGGCTCGCTTCGTGTCGACCGGCGGCGGCCCCTCCGCCGGCGTTCAACGTTGAGCCCCGCCGGCGACCCAGACTCGATCGACGTTGAGCGTTCTGACGTTTGGGAACCGGCCGACTGCTCAAGGTGGAGCGATCCCCGCACCGTCAGGAATCATCGCCGAGGTCGGCGCGGCACGAGCCTGCCGTGCCCCGTTCAGCCCCACCGGCAGATCGGCACGTCGCCGGCGTCGTAAGGAAGGGCCTCACAGGGCAAGCACACGTCGGCGCCAGCACGCGTTCTGGGGGTCCTCGGGCGGCCGCAGGTGGCCGTCCTCCACCGGCACGAGGTGGGGGAAGGGGCCCACGATCAAAGGGAGCCCAGATCATGCCATGAACATGAACTTCTGGAGGTCCGCGCGGATCTCTCGGAATGCACTAGACCCCCCCCAGGCAGCGCCTCCGTCGCCGCCCCTGGCGCGCTCCGCGCGCCAGGGATGGGGCCCAACGCCGATCCAAGGAATCAGAAAGGACCTCCAGAGGCACGTATTAGTCTCATCATCTGTCCTCGCGAGGGCGATTCCTGGTCCTACAAGCCTCCTCTCCGAGGCTGTGACAGGGGTGCTGAACCACATCGTTTAGACTCTCAATCTAGAGGCACCTTTGCCACTGACACGCCCTCGAGACACAGCGGCCCAAGCTTCCATTCCAAAAGCAGGGGATCTCAGATCACCCCAAGCCTCCACGTGGTGCTCACCGGCATGAGGGGAGGAAGGGTCTAACCAGGGAGGAGAGGGATGGAAGGGGGATATCTCATTCAAAGAGGGTCCGTTGAGGCAGTGGTCGTTGGTCTTCGGTGGGGTCTCTCGTCGCCACGGCTGGACGCTGCTCGGCAAACCTGGTGCGCTTGGACCCAGGGAGTGGTCTGGGGATTGTTTTTTGAACTGCCGCTGTCTCGACCCGCCCTGCCCCGAGAGGACGGTACGGGGAGAGGAGAAGGGGCGGAGGAGGGGGGAGGAGGAGGGGGGGGAGGGCTAGGGTAAATCCGTGACGCGTCAATCGGGGAAACGTAAGACTCGATCGAGTAAGCCAGAACTCTGGCTTGCCGACTCTGTATTTGACGAGCGCGTCCTGGGCGTTGACGGTCCCGTTTTCGTGGGATGTCTGCAGCGGGAGCCCGCATCAGATTTCAGATTGGGCCTCGACACTTTTATGATGGCCCCCGTCAGGCCACGCCGAGTCCCCCGTACCCGAGCCTTACGTCTCCCCGAGTCAACGGTGAACTCACCCTCCCCTCCCGAGACTCTGCGCAGCATTCCTCTGTGCTCTTTGAGGCGCTCACCACCCACCGAACCACCCCAACCCAACCCGAAGGCTCAGGTTTACCCTCGATTTCTAGTGGGGGGGGTTCGGGGAACATCGAAAAAACACATATGGAGCCCATACCCCCCCCAACCCGAAATTCGGGTCTTCGGGTTGGGTTGGGGTGGTCTGGTAGGTAGTCAGGCGCCTCGTGGAGAGAGACTCTGCGCAGCAGGGGGGGGAGGAGGAGGAGGAGGAGGAGGAGGAGGAGGGGGAGGAGGGGGAGCAGGAGGGGGAGGAGGAGAGAGGAGGAGGAGGAGGAGGAGGAGGAGGAGGAGGCGGAGGAGGAGGAGGAGCAGGAGGAGGAGCAGGAGGAGGAGGAGGGGCCTGCCTCGTGGAGAGAGGCGGCCGCCCTGTGGGCCTGCGAGCCGTGCGCGGGCCGCCTTTTTTTTTGGATCGGGGCCTGCGCTGCAGCCCTCCAGCTGCCAGGGGGCGGTGTCCAGCGAGGGGCCCGTTTTGAACGAGGTGCTGCTCTGCACCCATCCAGTTCAGGGGCATTCTGGCAGGGTGCTCCAGATTTCGGCGCCAGGCATCATCAGCATGCGCGAGCGGCCGACGTATACCCCGCAGTCGAGGCCTTCCGGCGTCGCCTCCCCCCCGCGAGGGGGCGAGGGCGGAACGCACGGCATTCCGAGGTCCGTGCGCACGGTGCGCAGGAGCAGGAGCAGGGAGACAGGGAGCGTCGAAAAAGAACATCGGGGGTGGATAGACCTCCTACTCTGACGCGTCGATTACTCCAGATTACGTAATAAAGGGAGGGGGTCTCATTTCGGGGGGGGTCTCTTCCAGGCTATCTTGTTGGGCCTGGGGGGGTCTGGGGACGATGTTTTGGAGGGTTCTCCCACGGGGGGGGGGGGGTCTGAAATGGCTTGTCTTGGAGGGTCCAGACCCCCTCCCTTTTATTACGAGATCTGGAGTATCGACTACAGAGTTGATTTACCCCAACATTGACATTATCGTCGGACCTACAAAAAGGAAGTATCCCATTCTGCGGTCGATTCCTCTAAACGGGCCGCCATATGTTTATGTGGTTGTTGAAGTACGTCAGGACGGGTGAGCGCGGTGCCAAAGCGAGAGCCACATCTGAAAACGATCCGCCCTCCATGGCTGTAGCTGCTGGGAACTGGTAAGACGATGCTGCGCGACTCCTTCGGCGAGAGCCAAATTTTCAAGAAGAGCTCGCACTCCATCAGTTTAGCTGTCGGAATTTCAAGCCTAGGGCCATGAAGGGTGAGGAAATTTCCAACGGCACGCCCGGTCCGATCCACTGACACCTCCCCAGCGGTCGACGAGGAGGAGGTGTTTTATCGAAGACGACTACGGCGAACCATCCCAGACTCGTTATTTGGGGAACATTTGTTTGGCCAAACGTTGGGCCGACGTCTTGCCAAGCTATTTAACTACGTGTTCCTCCAGCCATTGTGGAAAACTTGATGGAAGATTTGGAGGAGGAAGAACAAATGCGGAGGAGAGGGGGGAGAAGCAGGAGGAGGAGGAGGAGGACAGTGAGGAGGAAGAAGAAACCTCTTGGTGCCTCCTGGGCCTTTTGGTGGCCTTTGGGGGGCTCTTGGCGGCGTCCTGGGGCTTCTCGGGCGCCTCTTGGCGGCCTCAAGGGGCCTCTACTTAGCCCCTTGGTATTCAGAGGCCGTTTTGGGGGCAATGCTGAGCCGTCTTGGGGCCCTCTTGGGACGCTTTAGGGTCGTCTTGAACGTCTCTGCGGCCGCTTTGGGGAGCTCTTGAGGACCTCTTTGGCCGTCTTGTACCCTCTTGTTCATCTTTTGGGTCTCTTAGGTAGTCCTGTGGTTCTCTTCGGGGCCTCGTGGGTTGTATTGGGTGGCAGGCCGTCGGAAACCCCAAACCCAAAAAGACGAGAGAGCTAAAATCATTCAACAAGCTGGGGACATTATTCGATGTGGGGATGGCGCAGCTGCGCATCGTCGTCTCTGACACCTTCCTGCTGGGAGGGTCCGGGTGAGCGAGCCTTAGCCTGTGGCGACCGGGCGCTCCCTGGCTGCCGTTTGCCTCCGCGAGCGGAGCGTCGGGGTTACAGTGCGGGCGCAGAGGCAAGAAGCCCTCGCAAGAAACCTTCAGTAGGGCCCCGTCCCTCTACAGGGGGGATCGTCCAGAATAGTAAGACATTAGTCGGGGAACGGTTCTTTGAATACTAAGTTTCCGCGTTTGGAAGTATGTTCGGGGTATTGTTTATGTTTCGCCCAAGCCCGCCCCGTAGGGGGACACGCTCGAGCTAAACCTAACCCTGAAAATTCGCGCGCGAAGTACACCTGAGGGGAAACCCGGAGGTCACCCTGAACGCAGCAGTTTCTCAACGGCCGCGGGAAGTCACCGCGCAGCGCGAGGATCGAAGAAAGCCAGGGCAACTCTACCCCGGCGAAAAGCACTTGGTTTCTCGATGCGCGCCTCCACTGTTCAGGAGGGGAAAACAGACACAGACATAATTGATCGTCGATCCCCAGGAACATATGGGACCATATGGGAAGTTGGCGGAAAGACGGCAATCCAAGAAACATTAAAAATATGTGGAATCCTGAGATTTGTGTGGATTTATTTGTGTGTCCCTGGGCCCCTTGAACTGTATACACCCATGTTCATCCCACTTCCGTGCAATACCAGTGCCGCCACCGTTTGCTCCCAAGCACCGCAAGGCGTGAGGGCACCATTGACTGCAGAATGTGTGTGTGTGCGTGTGTTTGTTGAGCGGCGCCGCGGGCCATTCTCAGATACATCAAACAATTTGGCATCGCTCGGACGTGTGCATTTTTTCTCGGCGAGAACCATCGAGGACCATCCTGAACCATCGAGCAAAGAAAACACGCACGAAACCGAAACATTACGGGAAGTGGATGTCCGAGCGACGGCAAGATAAATGGTCAGCCTACACTAGCGTTGCCACTACATGTGGTTGATCGACCTCTGGGCTGACCATACGAGATCGAAGGATTATAGAAAAAAAACAATCCCGACGATTTGTTGTCAGCCGAACGGCCGGATGTGCACTTCAACGCATGCAACGATCAAGGATGCCTCTCGAGGCAGGGAACCTATAATGAGGAACAGCCAAGTGACACATTGATCTGAAGAGCGAACTCTTGACCCACATGAGCGATCCAAGACGGCTCAGCCAACTGAGCGTGCGGCGTCGCAGCCGCCAGGACCAGTGTCCGAGGCGGATTTTAAAGCAGCTGCCACTTTCTCCAGTGGCCCAACATGGCCAACTGTCGTCACATGAAGCCCGCGAGCGCTGCTCGCAGGCTGAGACAGCTGCAGATGCTGACGTCACGACGCGTCTGCCATGCCAAACGACAGGAACATCTCCGGCCACTCCGATCACGCTCCTCTTCAGCGGCACCGTCACGGGTACTCAGTAACGGGTACTTTGGAAGTTTGCTGAAAGTTGTCATTGTGGGGCCTTTTTCTGGCGTTGCCACATTGCCCACTTCGGGAGGGACTGACCTTGCCGGTTCACTGCTCAAAGCGCCCGTTAGTGGGTCCTCAAGGGTTGTCGTGTCGTCGTGGTCCTCGTCTTCGTCCCTTTCATCACCATCACTATCCTTTGCCTCCTTCGTCCTCGAACATGAGGGGGAGGGGGAGGGAACATTAGGAGGAAGACAGGAGGAGGAGGAGGAGGAGGAGGAGGGCCGTTGACCTCTCCTCCCGCGAGCGAGCTCCAGAGTTGCGGGGTGCTGGCGCGGCGGCTCTCGGGCACGTCGGGCAGGTCTACGCATCGAGGCTCCTCTGGCAAGGCCTTCGGTGGGTGCCGGCCCGCGGGGTTGCAGGCAGCCGCCCCCCTGTTCAGGAGGGGAAACAAATTATCCCAGTGCGACCCTACCTAGGAGTTGGAGCCCCTAGGAAAGCAGCAGTAGTAGTAACCGTAAAGCTAAGATAAAGCTAAGGTAAAGCTAAGCTAAAGCTAAGCTAAAGCTAAGCTAAAGCTATGCTGCGCTATGCTGTGCTATGCTATAATATGCTATGCTATGCTGAGCTATGCTATGCTAGGTTATGCTATGCTTGGTTATGCTATGCTATGCTATGCTGTGCTAATGCTGCACTGCGCTATGCTGCGCTAAGCTAAGGTAAGCTATGCTAAGCTAAGCTAAGCTAAGCGAAGGTAAGCTAAGCGAAGCTAAGCTAAGCTAGGCTAGGCTAAGCTAAGCTAAGCCAACCCTCCTCGCCCTCCCCTCCTCGGGTCGCCTACGGCCCCCGGGGGGAAACCGTGCAATGGGGCAGGGGGACGGGTCAAGTTCTCGGCGGGAGCGCCGCATGCTGTACTTCACTCGGCTCGGGGGCTGCAAAGAGGGGGGTGATGACTAGGGGGGGGGGGGATATCATGGCGTGGGCCATGATAGTTCGCCAGATCTCATGGCGCCTCTTCTTGTTTCATTACGTCCCTGCCCCCCCCCCTGGGCCGCCCACATGCCGCCGGCCATGATTTGCGCCCCCCCCTCTTGGACGCCCCCCTCTTGGCCGCCCCCGATATTGACGGTCCAGTTTTCGTGGGATGTGTGTAGCGGGAGTTCGCGTCAGGTTTCAGATTGGGTCTCGTCATTTTCTGTGATGGCCCCGTCAGGCCAACCCGAGTCCCCCGTACCCGAGTCTTACGTCTCCCCGAAAGTAGCACCCGAACCATGGGTCTCAGCATAGGTAGGGGCCGCCATCGACAACCATCGTAAGCCAATGCAGATGCTGGCCAGGTGCGTGACGCCCGCGAGGTGCGCCGAGTGTGCCAGGTACGTCACGAGCACCAGGTGCGCCAGGTGCCCCATGGACTCGAGCGTGCCAGGCGTCTGGTGCGCCAGATGCGCCACGTGCTCCACATTTAGCACACATCGGACAATATGTCGACCCCGTCCATCCCTGTCAAAAGCTTTTGCAGAGTGACGTCGGGAGTGCCGGCAGTGTGTAACCTGTGTGCGCCCGCAATCACGTTACATTGGTTTGGACAGGCAGGGATGGTGGGTCTGCGCATAGCGGGCAGTATGATGTCCCTGCCGCCACCCTTGTCAACATAATCCAGGCACAGTGATCGATGGGCGTTCGAACATGTTTTAGATTGCACCGCAAAGCGTATATTTGCTGAGAGGCGTGATAAGGAGGCTGGAATTGTTCCTGGTCGGTCGCCGGTCGAACAGGGGATGAGGTGCTTGTTCAGAAGAAGCAGTGGCAAACCGCTCCCCGAAGGGGAATCATGGGGGTTGGAAGAGCGAACTCGACAAAGTAGGGATGGACCTGAACGCTGTGTTGCTGGACTTCGACTGTTTTTTGTTCGTCGCTTTGGCAGGGAAGGCACAGGAAAACGGGCAGAGCAAAACGACAACAACAACGAACCACGACGTTTAGGTCCAGCCCTGCGACAAACGACTTACGCCCAGAGGGCCAGCGGGATTGTGCAGTCACGAGGATGCCCCCGCGCGGGGTCCTCCAGGACGGGTGTTCACGGGTGTTCCAGGGGGGCACCCCTGAGGAGTGAGGGCGGGCAGCGTCAGCAGGCGGGACTTGTGCGGGGCAGGAGCTGCCCAAGGCCTCCCAGATACACGGCATCGCCCGCATCTTCGCCGACGGCGGAGCGCTGGACGCCGGGGGGGGCTGGTCGAAGAGGAGAAAGCTGCACTAGCATAAACTTTCGGAGCTCTGCTCAGATTTCCAAGATCGGAGGTGAGTTCCCCCCTGGCGGTGCCCCTGGAGTTTCCCCTGGCGCCGACCCTGTCGCGCTCCGCGCGCGCGCGTGCGTGCGTGCGTGCGTGCGTGTGTTTGTGTCTGTGGGGTCGGCGATACGTAAGAGTGACTTTTCGCTCGAGTGACCTCCTTTGTTTGGTGCGGGCACGCGGGGGTCACCAGATGGCCGAATGCGGTGCGACAGCAGCGGCTTGCGCGCTCCGATTCGGCCTCCCCGCGGCCCGCGCCAGTCGCGCACCAAAGGCCACTCCTGCCGAGGGTCACTCGAACGTTCGGCGGCGAGCCCGAGGGGAAATGAGAAGGAGAAGGCCTTCTCAGAAGGCTCGGAAGTTCCCCGGCCTTCTGAGAAGTTTGCCAAGCCCTCCCCGAAGGCACAGCAAGCTGCCCAGAAGGGGCGAGGGCCTCTGAGAAGCCCCGCCGCCTCTGAGAAGGGCTTCTCTTTCCCACTTCCCCCCCTCCCTCGCCGCCGATACGTGGCATGGCGCCAACATCGCAAAGCGGATTGCGTTCGGAAAACGATGGGGTGGGCCCGGGGTGTCCAGGAGAATTTTGTTCCGGATCTCGAGGGGAACCTAGTGCGGATTTTTTTTAGGGGGGGCGGTGGGCCAGGAATCAGAGCGTGCATTGCCTACCCCGCTTTCGCTTCCAGGCAAAACCAGGTCATGCCACGCGCCTCCTCGTCAAGCGGCCTGACCAGTACAGGCCGCAGTTTGGCATCGCTCGTTATCTCTTGGGAGTGAGGCAGGTTTGTTTGCCCCCTAAGGAAGGGTGGCCAGAAGGGATCCACGCAGAGTGTTGTTTCCTCCTCCCTCCCTCCTCCCTCCTCCTCCTCCTCCTCCTCCTCCTCCTCCTCCTCCTCCTCCTCCTCCTCCTCCTCCTGCTCCTCCTCCTCCTCCCTCCTCCTAGGAATCCGCTGCAGCACGTCTGCAGGGACGGTGCAGTAGCACCGTGCAGGCGAGGGGCGGGAGCCGCCCAGCAGTGGCGGCGGCCGGGCGCCCTGCGGTCTCCGGGGGGGGGGGGGGCAGGCCCAGTGGGGACCGTCCGGGGGCGGTCAGCGCCGTCCGGGGGCCCACCAACGGTGTGGTGACCACACCGCGTGGTGTCAAGTCGGGCATGCCCCTCGACAGGAGGAATGCTCCCAGATAGTCAGAGCATGTTCAGGGGACGATGTCACTATGAGTTGTATCCTTAGTATCGTATTTCTGAGTACTGTTGGTATTCTTGCGACTCTTTTGGGGCATGTGCAAAAGTATGTGTAATGTGTCGTCCAACATCCGCCTGTAGGGGGACATGCCCGACCTAGGCGTAGTTGCCCAGACCCCCTCGCGTTGTGGAACAATCCCGCGGGAAGTTTTTCGCTAGCTTTCGGTCTCTGGGGGCCCGTGCCGGGTCTCGGGGCCGTCAAACAACGACTCGGGCCGAGAAGCCGCTCCCGGGGACGGGGTCCAGAGACCTCTGGGGTTCGACGCTGTACAACGGTCGCGACGTCGGGGGTCTGGGGTGTCAGCGCGAGGGAAATCGTGGAGGCCTCGTGCGGCGCGCGATGGTTGTGTTATCTAGGCCACTCGTCCGCTCCGAAGGACATGGTCGAAGTTCGCGCAGCGATGCTCTGGCGCAGGCCCGACGTAATTTCGACGTAATCCGACGCGAGCCCGACGTACATTCGACGCAAAACGGGTCCAAAGTTGCCGCGCGAGGCCTCCCGGATGTTCCTCCTACAAGTGTGGATTCGGCGGGGCCACCGCACAATTTTGGGACGCGGGTCGTTCTCCGAGGGCGTCTCGGGCGACCGGGTCCTCCGAGGCCCCAAGGACGCGCGGTGGCGGACGGTGCGGTGGGGTTTTGGGGGGATTCCGAGGACACCGCGCGGTCTGTCACCGCACGGCGTTGGGATCCCCCCCAAGGGCGAGCGCCCGCGCAACGTCCCATGCAGTGGAAGCCCATGCCAAGAGACACTGTTTGCCGCCAGGGTGCCCTGGGTTTCTGGGGCTTCGACGGTCCTGGCGCGGAGAGCGCGGCGCCCCCGCGCCAGACATCGATGGGCGCCCTGGGGTCTCAGGCTTGGGCTTCTTGTGGGAGCTCAGGCCTGTGGTCGAGCTCCCGCTGCCTGTCGAGGTCCCAAGCGGGCCGCGTCGAAAGGCCAGGGCTGGAAGTGTGAGGCTGCCCCCGCGCGGTCCTCGCGAGGGGGGGCGGCAGGGGCCATAAAAAGGGCCCCCTCTGGAAGCAGCAGGTGCCCCAGAGGGGCCCCGAAGGGCCCCCCATTGGGGACCGCTCCTGCACCCCCCACTTTGGGTCACCCCCCCCATTAGCACCCTCCTCCTCCTCCTCCTCCTCCTCCTCCTCCTCCTCCTCCTCCTCCTCCTCCTCCTCCCCATTAGCACCCGCCCGATGCACTGCAGCGATGAACCGAGGTCGGCAGTCCCCAGGAATAGTCATCTGCGGTTGGTCATCTCCCACGAGTGACAGACCACAGGTTGGTAAGTCTAGGGGGACCGCCTGCTGGACCGCCAGAGGTTTCTTCGGCGGAGACACACCAGGTACGATGGCTGACATGGGCTGCATCTTGCTATGAATCGCCAACAGCGGTTGGCTATTCCCAGGGAGTGGCCGACCGCAATTTCTTTTATACCGCGCTCCGCCCGCTGCAGCAGAGCAGTTGTGATTTCCAGGCGAGTTGGCGCTCTATGCTTAGGTAGCCCAGGGTTCGCTAGGGATGAGTTCCTCCACAAAACGACGAAAACCCTTACAACTCCTTTTTTTCTGAACCATCCGAAACGCCTCCCGAAAACCCTTCCCGGAGGGTTTTCGGAGGGTTTCGGGAGGGTGTCGATTGTGCTGAAAGGAAGCCAGTCCCTAGCGAACCTTGGACTTTCTATCTCTATTATTTCAGGTTGGGCCCAAGCACTCGTCCGTGCGATTGGCAGCGTTGCCTTCAGGCGAGATGCTGCCAGGTGGCCCAGTGAATTCGAGACCTTGAATCTGGGAGCCGCACTGTTGCGAGTCAGACTGCAGTGGTGATGGGGCCATTGCTGCGATGCTTCCAAGAGGAACAAGGCAAAGGTTGTTAGAGTTCGGCGAGCCCCCCTCCTCAAGCCCAGGTGTCTTCGCAGGGCGTGTCCCATGCCTTTGGCGGAGTCGATCTCCAAGGCGACTGGAACTCAAGACGGCCCCGCTCGGCCGAGTCGTCGTGGTGTGTCCGGAAGGATGAGAGCAGCTGCTTGAGAAACATCAGCATGATGATCACAAACAGAGAAGAGGGGGAGGGGGAGGGGGAGGGGGAGGAGAAAACTCGGGAGGGGAACAACAGGCACAACTAATCGTCGTTTCTCCGGACAGAATAGAACATATGGGGAGTGGAGGGGAAGACGAGCGTCCATTAATTATCTAATGACTGTGCCAATGTATTTGCCAATGGCAAGTTTGGGTTCGTATCTATCAGCCTGCAATATGGGGAATCTCTATCTGCGTGTCCCTGGCCCCTTTTGAACAACAGCAGCAGCAAGCGCATCAGCACCACAGGGCGGCAGGGCGGAGCGACGGGAGGCGCATGGGGCAACGGAGCGGGAGCGGCAGACGCCGCGCGGGGGAGCCTTGCAGGCCGCGGGGGAGGGTGAAGGGTTTAGTCGGGCATGTCCTTCCACGGGAGGAAGATTCAAACATAGAAAAAAATATCCAGGGGGCGATTCTGTTAGCATTTTTGATTACGTATTTTCGAATGTTTGTTGGCCTCTTGGAATATTCAAAAGTAGTCTAAACATAATAATCTGGGGATTATGCTTTCTCAATTATGTTTGAACATTGTGTTTGGCACTTGTTCATTTGTCCTCCGGAATCCGCCTGTAGCAGGACATGCCCTCCCCACGGAAAGGGCGAGCAGGCAGGCGGCCGGCCAGCCAGACCCTCCCCCCACCCCTGCCCGCGAGCGGGCAGGGCTTGGCCGGCAAAGGGCAGGAGGCCCAGCTTCGCCGCTGCGTGCGATCGGGGACCGCCTCTCGCCACTCCTCCCTCCTCCCGCAGACTCTGCCGATCGCGTCTCGACCCCTCTTTTGTTCGCTCCCTCTCCCTCTGTTCTCCCCCCCCTCCTCCTCCTCGTCTGTTCTCCCCTCCTCATCCTCTGTTCTCCCCCTCCTCTTCTCTTCTCCCCTCCCCCTCCCCCGTCTCCACTCCTCTGTTCTCCCGTCCCAGTCTGTTCTCCCACTCCCCCTCTCCCCGCTTCTCGCTTCACCCCCTGCGACCCCCAGCCCGTCCGCATGTGCCTCACATCCCCCCCACTAGTTCCTCCCGCCTCGTCGCCGATCTTCGATCGCGTGTGATTCCGAATCGGGGCATGCTGGGTTGTCCAGCTCTTGGCGGCGCGCCTCCGCTGGCGGACGGGGAGGCTGTGGGTGCCGCTCGAGTCATATCACAGCGCCGCACCGGGGGTTCGCAAAGGCCTGCTGGCCTCTTGCCCCGTCCTGTCCTGTAAGCAGGCGAGCGGGACTGATCTCAGCCAGCAATAACCTAGCTCGATTGTGGCTTTCCTTCCCATGGCAGTCATTGAGGTGCCGCTTCCATCCAGGAACCACTGTGAGGCGATCTGTATTGAGATGGGAAGTGGAGGGTCAGTCGTGATGACTAGGTCATAGGTAACAGTCAAACCAAAGCAGGTACCCGCCCACCTCCCACCCCCCCCCCCATCCACAACAACAAGTCCGACGAAGGACCGTACATGTCTGTTTCGTGCGCACGATACCACTATCACCGACGACGGCTGATGGTGATACTGTTAGGATGCCAGGATCCGAGGAAGCGACTTGTGAGGCCGTTCCGACCTGTTGGTCCCGTGAGATTTGCGTGTGTGTGTGATTGTGTGTGTGAGTGTGTGTGTGTGTATGTGGGTGTGTTAGTTTGCGCGCGCGTGTGTGCGTGCGTGCGTGCGTGCGTGCGTGCGTGCGTGCGTGCGTGCGTGCGTGCGTGCGTGCGTGCGTGCGTGCGTGTGTGTGTGTGTGTGTGTGTGTGTGTGTGTTAGTGTGTGTGTGTGTGTGTTGATGTGGTGGGGGGGGGGATTTGAGGACAGCGGTGCCCGTGGGACTTGTGGTTCCTGTGCGACCTGCGGGGCCTGTGCGACCCGTGGGGCCTGTGAGACTCGTGAGACCTGTGGGACACATGGGGCCTGTGGGACCTGCGGGGCCTGTGGGATCTGTGGGACCCGGGGGGCCTTCGGGCCCCGTGGGTCCCTTGGGACACCTGGGTGTTGTGGGACCTGTGGGGCCTCTTGGCCAGAGTAGAAAAAAGGTACCCATGCCTCTACCCTCCGCCCGTTTTCCCCCGTGTCGGGCCTCCACGGCGGCCCTCGTCGACACCGCTGGATTCACCTCGGGATCCCGGTCAGAAAGCACCTCGGGAGAGGTCCGGGGCGTGGCGGTATGGGTACCTTCTGCTCTCCCCAGTTGGACCCGGGAGACCTGTGGGGCCCTCGGGGGTTCTGCGACCCGTGAGCGTACTCGGAACTTGTGGGGCGCGTGGGAGTTGCGCGCCTGGCGGGTCGCGTGGAGCCTGTGGGACCCTCGGAACTCGTGGGACCTGTGGGAGCTGCCCGTGAAGCCCGGAAGCAATGCGAGTTGCTCGACCCATCCACGAGAGAACTGTGCACGACGCGCGGGCGGAGGCCATCGAGCCCGCCCTCGGGCGGCGAGGGAGCACCGCACCGTCGGGTGGCCGGGGGGGCTCCCGCGACGACCCCTCGACGTGGCTCAGCCACGCGCGGAGGGCGGCAGGGAGGGGGGGGGCCTCGTCGGAAGGTGTGGGGCCCGCGCCTTCTGCCCATCTAGGCTTCCTGGATGGGGTCGGAGCACATGGTGTCGGAGCATCGCGCCGCATCGCCGATGCATCGGCGATGAGGCTCGATGTGGAACCCGATTAGCTTCACGTCGGCGTCGTCGATGCATCGCCGTTGTCGACGATCTATCGCCGGTGCATCGCCGATGCATCGCCGATGTTTCGTCGATGCAGCGCGATCCTCCGACCCCATCTACTCGGACCCGATCTAGGAGGCCTATAGCCAAGCAGCCCCCTGCTGAGGTGATCGTTTTCTTAGTCACTGCTCTGCCGATCGGCGCGGGCCCTCGCACTACCCCCCTACCCCCCGATGGACCAGGCCCTGGCAGTCTTGGGCGCCCGGTTCAAGCAGGTGGGCGGCTCCCCATGGGATTCGCCATGGGAGCATTGGTCCAAACAGTCGCACTAAGAAGAGGTCGGGAGCCAGACCCCCCCCTCTACCCCCCCCTTCTGCTCAATCTCGAAGCGCCGAATCCGAAGACGTTCACCTGAGAAGCCTGCCCCCCTCCGCCCCCCCTGCCCCCTTGTGCGCCTCGCCAGCAGCGCACAAAGAATCAGGCGATCGCAAACATGGATTGAGAGGGCGTGACTTGGCCACGGGTCCCGGTTCCACGGGAAATCGCTGTGTTGCCGCTGCCGCGCGAGGCGCCGCCAGCCGCACTGTTGGGGAGGCCCCCCCCCCCGATCCATGGAGTTGGCGACCGCGCGCCAGATCCATGGATCGCTAAAATCCAGCCCCCGGAAAGGAGGCCCAGCCCGCCGATCGCCTAGCCCCCCGAACGAGGGCCAGCCCCCCGATAGCCCAGCCCCCCGAAAGAGGGCCAGCCCCCCGAAAGAGGGCCAGCCCCCAGATCGCCCACCGCCCAGCCCGCCGATCGCCCAGACCAGCCCCCCGAAAAAGAAGGCCCGGGCTTGCGCGCCCCCCGAGAGGAGGCCGAGCGCCCCGCCGTACAGGCCGCGCGCGCCGCGGGCCTGCGCGCCCCCGTCCCGGAGAGGGGCCCGCGCGCCCGGCCGGGGCCCGCCGAGGTGGCGGGAGCCGCCCCCGCCGGTGCTGTCGCCGGGCAGGTTCCGCCCTGGCAGAGGTGGCGACGCGGGTGCCCGCCGCCCGCCTCGGTTCGAAGCGCAGATCGGGGGCCACGGGCGAAGCCTACCGTCGGGGCGTGGACCTGAGGAACCCTAAATGAGGAACGGGGCCCCTTTCTCCCAGAAGTTGAACTTCGATCTCCCATGCAAAACCTCCGGAAAACAGAAGGCAACACAGTCGAACAAATCAAGGAACACCGAGCCCCTCCCCAGCGAAAAGGGTTCCTTCTTCAGGGCCCCGGCTGTACCCCTACCCCCCACGATTTCTGAGGGGCAGGGTGGGGTTCACTTCGTTCGGGAGCTCCCGAGCGTAGTGAACCCCACCCTCCCCCTCAGAAATCGTGGGGGGTAGGGGTAGGGTTCGCATGTGGCTGACAGAGTACCCCGATTACGCGTCAGAGAGCCCCTTCGCTCCTGTGCGCTCCTGTGTGGAATATCTAGTCCGCTGCTCATTATAGCCGCGTTTTTCTTGACGGCGCCTGGCATTCCGGCGCGCTCGCGAACAAAAAGTGAGAGTGACCCTTCGCCGGAGTGACCTTTGGGTGCGGGCCGATCTGGGTCCCTACGATCGCTGAGCACGATGCGATAGCGGCTGTTGGCGCGCCGGGATTTGGCCACGCTGTGCCCCTCTTTAGTCCGCGCGCCAAAGGTCACTCTTACCCCGGGTCGCCCTTGGGTGTCGCGGAACACCCCAGAATGCGCCGTCCCGATTTTTGTTCGGGGCGGCGTCCCTGGAAGTCGGGCCGGGCGAAAGGGGGGGATTGGGAAAGGGGGGGTTACGAAATTTGCTGCATGCAGCTGGTTTCGGCCTCACCGAGGGGCCCATTCCTCGATACATGGTCGCCTCCGGCGCCGGGAGGCGCCGGGAAAATCAGCTACGTGAGCTGATTCTCAAACCCCCCCTTTGCTATCCCCCCCTTTCGCCCGACCCGAGGAAGTCCCGGCCCTGTCCCTGGGACCGGTTCTTCGTCCTGAGTCGTTTTTGGCGGCCCCGGGGCCCCGCGAGGGCCCCCCCCCCAGGGCCGAACATATTCCCCCCCAAAAACCTCCGGCCTGGATGTTTTACGACGCGATTATGTCTTGGACGGCACCTTCTCGACGCCCCGACACGGGGGCGGTCGGTGGTTCAAAGATGGGGGCCTGAGGGATTGGGCGCTGAGGATTTAGGAAGGGAGCCAATGGTGGATCCGCATTGGTTGGGGCGCCTCGTCCTTAAGACCCTGTTCCTCAGGACCCCATCTTTGAAGTACCGATACAGAAAAATAACGGCTCAAACATAAACTGTTGATGGTGCGCGCGGAATTTTTGGATCCGCGCTGGGCCCCCCTGGCGGCGCCTCCAGCGCCGCCCCTGGCGCGCTCCGTGCGCATGTGAGGGGGGGTCCAGCGCGGATCCGAGACATTCCTTGTTTCTTCCTTAATCGGTGGTTCAAAAATGGGGTCCTGAGGAACGGGGTCCTACGGACGAGGCGCCTCGACCAATGTGAACCCACCATTGGATCCCGTACTACCCTCAGCCCCAATCCCTCAGGTCCGCATCTTTGAACCACCGACCGCCCCCGTGTCGGGACGTCATGCGAATGCGACGGGGGCCCATGCAAGCGAGGCTCAGTCAGAGCGCCGGATCTTACAGGATCCTCTGCAGGGCCATCGGTGCACTGATCCAGGCTTGGGTACAGGATCCTGCAGGATCTTGCAGGATCTTGCAAGATCCTGCAGGGCCTGGCAGACCCAGGTCTGGATTGACCCCAGTCAGTGGATCGCCGACCCCCGTGGGTGGAGCAGTGCTAAGGTCGGGCGGGCGGCAAGGGGAGGGGCGGGGGGGGCAGTTCAACGCAGGGGGGGAGCTAAGGGTTGCAGGGGAGAGAGAGAGAGAGAGGGGGCCCCACATGCGGACCGAGGCGTGGGGTCGAGGTCGAGGTCGGGGAGGGCACCCTGGTGTTTTTCGTGCTTGTGGAGTGTTCCTGTGCATCCTGGGGAGGGCACCCCTGGGTATTCTGTCAAATTTGGCCGGCGGAGGGTCTCGTGTTCTTGACTGATGTCATTTCGGAGGCTGCCAGAAGGGTTCGCTGGACAAGGTTGGTGTCGCTGGACACGACCTGAGCAGCCGTCGAAGTCGCCCTTCTTGAACCAGACCTTCTCGCCGTCCTCGCTGATTCTGGCCTGGGTCCGTCGGCAGATGGCCCCTGACTTGCCACCGCGTGCCCAAAAGGCGCCCGAAGGCTGCCCGTTTTTCGCCCCGCGTGTGCTGCCCCCCCCCCCCACCCGTTGACGAGCGCCGGAGCAGAGCAGGCCCGCCCAGCTCCGCGCTCCTCGAAGGCCATCCTCCTCCTCCTCCTCCTCCTCCTTCTCCTCCTCCTCCTCCTCCTCCCCCTCCTCCTCCTCCTCCTCCTCCTCCTCCTCCTCCTCCTCGGGGGCTCCTGGATCTAATAAGCGGGCGCGTTGGCCCATCGGGCCCCCTGCGGTCGCAACGCTTCAGCTCGGTGCCATTGTTCGGCGGCGAGCGAGGGGGGGGGAGTGAGAAGGAGAAGGCCTTGTCAGAGAGTTCGGAAGTCCCCCGGCCCCCCAAGAGGTATTCTAACCCTTCCCCGAAGACAAGGATAACTTTACAGCAGTGTTGTAAGGCCTTCTGAAACATATCAGAGTCTTCGGGGATGGCTTGGCACACTTCTCAGAAGGCCGGGGCGCTTCTGAGAAGTCCCACAGCCTTCTGAGAAGGCCTTCTCCTTCGCACTTCCCCCCGTCGCTCGCCGCCGAGTCGCCCCCGTCCTTTCCCTTCCCTTCCCTCGCCCTCCTTCGCCCTGCCCTCCGCTTCCTTCTGGGGGCATCCGCCAGCTAGTATCTTGTAAGCCATGGGACCCCCAGACACTTCGAAGTGGGACGCGCCTCCCCACACGGCCTCTCCGTGCAGAGGCTCTGCACCCGGGGCTCTTGGCGCCCCGGCGGGCGAGCCGGGGCCCCCGAGATCGGTGGGGCCCACGGTGGCTCTCCCATCGCGGCCCCCCATCGTGAACCGTGTAAGGCTGCCGAGGTTCTCAGCCGCAGGGGTGCCCTTGTTTCAATATACGCGGCCCCAGGGCTCCCGACCTCTTCCCCGGGACTTCCTCGTCCCGGCGGGGCTTGGGGTTGCATGTCAAACGTCTTTTTGGGCCCGAAGCCGACCGCCAGCTCGTATGTTCCAAACCGTGCCACACACACCCTCCCAGACATCTCGACCTCTTCCCAGGACTGGGTTTTGCATGTCCGAGACCTCATCCATGGCTCGAAGCCGACTTCGGGAAACTACGAATTGTGAGAGTTGCCCGTCTTGCCGAATGCCTGAGCGCTTGAGATCGCCCGTCGGTCTCCCCCCCTGAGATCGGCAGGGATGCATGCTCTCGCTCTGCCCTTCGGTTTCGGCTCGAAGGGCCCCCCTCTGGATTCGAGAGCCGCATCAATACAGTCAGGGCCCTGAAGAAGGAACCCTTTTGGTTGGGGAGGGGCTCCGCGTTCCTTAAGTGCTCCTTACCTTGCCTCAGGTGCTCCTTATGCTTTCGATAGGAAGTGGAAGTTTAACTTATGGAGAAAAAGGGGCCTCGTTTCTTATTGAGGGTTCCTTAGGTCAACGCCCCGACTGTAATGGCATAAACTGTGTCGGGCCGGTGTTGGGCACCTCTCGCCGCGCTTTGGCCATCGCCGCTGGCGCGCCCCGCGCGTCGTGGACGGGGTGTGGGGAGGGGGGGAAAGAGCCGCGCGGGCCTCCGAAGAGGCAGCGCCTCATCCCGCTTGTGTGTGGCCAGCTGTACCCTTCTCGTGGCAGGTCGAAGCGTGACGTCACGATGTCTTTGTCGACGCATCGCCCCTCCAAGAGCAAAAGGGGGAATCCTGGCCTCGTCCTCGCAATCTCTTGGGAGCGGTGTTGGGCATCCTGGGGACACACTGGAGCTGTGTGACAAACTAGGCCAAGCAGTCCTGCATCCTGGGGCTCCTCGGGGGGACATCAGTGGTAGTAGTAGGGAGAAGCCTCCTTTCACCACGCTGCCGAAACGGCACTGCCTTGATGGCTCAATCAGTTTCCCAGGAATCTGCGATCTGGGAGTTGCCCCCTGTCGTCATGTGGCCTGCTGGGCCGAGTCCGAGATGGCCCCAGGCAGCGGCCCGTTAGGCCACGAAGCGTCGCGGAGTCGGAGCTCCTTCC